CCGAAGAGGTCTCGATAATCATCTCACCATTCTGGAGGCCAGAAAACGCAAGGAGAGATGCCCTGTATTAAACAGGCCACCAGCGATTCCAAATATACCTACTACTACTACTACTACTACTACTACTACTACTACTACTACTACTACTACTACTACTACTACTACTACTACTACTACTACTATGCGAGAACTTATGTATAGATAATAAAGGGCTGCTGCTCTGTGTCTGATACGTATTCATGCACATAAGAGTGCGCATGAATGCATGTGTATGCGAATATGTATAGTTTTCTTTAGGCAATTAGTTCGTGACCATCCCGCGCTCCCGGTTGTTGTACTTGAAAAATTTTGAAACATCAGTTGTATGGAGTTTACAGTGTCCTCTAGACCGTTGCGGACAGTGAGACGTTCAGGGTTGGGACTAGGGTGGCTGGGCTGGAGCCAGGGGCTGTGGGGCTGGATAAGAATTGAGAGGGCAGGACTGCAACTGCGGATGAGGGCTAGGAGGTTGTAATGTTTGAAAAAGCGGAGAGCAAGCACAAAGAAAACGTTGCTAATTAAAAATATGTGCTAGATATCTAAGATTTTTGCGAGTTTATATAGCTTTTCCTTAGGACGCTGGTCTGTCACTATACAGTGCTCCTGGTTGTCGTACTTAAGAAATTTTGAAACAGCAGTTGTATGGAGTTTACAGTGTTCTCTAGACCGTTGCGGACAGTGGGTCGCTCAGGGTTCGGCGTAGAGGGGATGGGCTGGAGCCAGGGGCTGTGGGGCTGGATAAGAGTTGATAGGGTAGGACTGCGAGCTGGGAATGAGGGCTTGGAGGTTGTAATGTTTGAACAAGCAAAGATCAAGCGCAAAAAAAAACACTGCTAATTAAAAATATTTGCTAGATATCGAAAATCTCTCATGTTTATATAACTTTTCCTGCGGACGCTGGTCCGTCACTATACCGTGCTCCTGGTTGTCGTACTTAAGAAATTTTGAAACAGCAGTTGTATGGAGTTTTCAATCTCTTCCCACGATATTCATATGAAACTATTGAATACTCCAAAACTTTAACAATCTATATGGCTGCTCCATGCTCCTCCATAGGAAGTTGCTGTTCAATGTTTCGAGCTTTCACACTTAAAAAGATTTTCAACCAGCAGTTGTATGGAGTTTTCAATCTCTTCACAAGATTTTCATATAAAACGATTGAAAACTCCAAAACTTTAACATTCTATACGGCTACTCCATAGGACGTTGCGATTGAGTGTTTCAAGCCTTCAGACTTAAAAGGATTTTAAACCAGCAGTTGTATGGAGTTTTGAATCTCTTTCATATAAAACGATCGAATACTTCAAACCTTTAACAATCTATTCCCTACGAAGTTGCTGTTCAATGTTTCGAGCCTTCACACTTAAAAAGATTTTCAACCAGCAGCTGTATGGAGTTTTCAATCTCTTCCAAAGATTTTCATATAAAACTATTGATTACCCCAAAACTTTAACAGTCTATATGGCTATTCCATAGGAAGCTGCAAAATTGCTAAAAGCCTCTTACCACATATATGAAACTACCACATGTAACGTAAAAGTGACGAAAACGTATAAGGAAAGTCACATTCTCTCTCAGAGCTCAGGTTTCATGACCCTTGCTTGCAAGGACAAGTACGTTGTAGGACATTGCAGGGCCCGCAGTCTGCCAGGCACTTTTCCATCATCCGAAACCTGTGACTGCAAGCGGAGTGTGCTAGAAAAATACATAAGTATTGCAAGACTGCGGTTTGTGCCGTGTGTCCACATATTTTGTCCGGCATATATGAAATCTGCTATGCATAGTACAACGGCTTTGCTATCTCACCAGCAACTGAGATGCCGTTTTTTCGTCTCCGGAAAAAACACCTTAGCCCTCGCTAAGGTACTTGGCCGTGGGGCTGTAGCACCGGTCCTGGTAGTCCCAGCGCCAGCCGACCGAAAAGTGCCGGATGGCACCGATAGGATGGAGTTCCTCCATCCGGGCAAAGGCAGTGATGAGTAGAGTTGGCCCGCCTAGAGTGTACTCCAAGCGGACCAACTTTCCTGCTTTTAAAGCATCGATCCTCACTACTTTGCCCGAAAGTCTCTCTTGAGGAGAGACATCAGACAGCTCACGGCACGGCGGCGTGTAGCGACCTGCAATGAAGCATCCGAGATTCTGCAGACGTTAAAATGGCACCCAAGACAATGCCTTCCAAACGCTCGATGGCTTTGCCAATGTTGGAATGAAGCTCGTTCTCCTTGTTGGGCACATGCCCCAAAGCCTCAAGGACACGTATTTATAAAGACACCTACTTCAGGGCTTGGGTCTCTGTGTTACCTGCCTCGTCGAAGATTTCAGGAGTTACCGCGAGAAGCTGGCGACCCAGCCAGTCCGAAGGAATGCCGGGAGCATGGTTAGTGCTTTCCTTCCAGCGGGCCTCATGGAAAAAAAATACGTCAAACCGTAAGAGCCAAAAAAAACACGACTCGTGCCTGAATGCATTCCTTTAGGAATTCCTGCTGCTCCCAGATCGTGCGCGAGGACTTCGGAGTCCTTAGAGAATTCCACAGGTCGGCTCTTGCTGCACCGGCAAGTGTAGCATTGTAGTGCAGCTAAAAATCTTGGACCACTCCGCCAGCCGTGCATGCCAAGCTTGTAGCAAGGCAAGAAGAGTCACACGGAACGAGGCCCAGAGTTGCTCCGCTTTGGGAAGCCATGGTACTCCGTCACCGGGGGCCTCGCGAAGCCAGTTGTTTATGCTTTACAAGACTATGGCGTTAGAATAATCACAGTGGTTTGTAAGACGCGGACAGCGGCAGACGACGTCGCCTTGCGCTGACTTCCAGTCTTACCAGCTCGCCTGCCAGTCAACTGCGAGTTTACTTGCATTTCCACTCAACCTCGTTCGTCGCCAACCCTGCCTCTTGCCGTACCCTGAGACCCGCTGGGGCATCGCTACTTCGGCGTTACCCTCAACAAAAACAGTCGTGAGCTGCTTAGCAGATCAAGGCTGCGGCGGCCGAGGCGTGCAAGGCGCTGCCACATGTGCTGACATGCAGGTCTGGATGTCCGACCCTGAACGCAAACCTAAGGGAAAAACACTCTCAACTCGATACAAACGGGAACTACTTTTTTAAGATCTATATAGCAAAATCTCATACTAGAAGACATACAAACAAGAACTATTGCTTCCAAAACTACATACAAAGGAATATCTTTGAGCATACTATCTTGTTCATTCCAATCGAAAAAAGATAGATTCTACCGTCAGGGAGCTAGCTAACTATTGTTCTCATGCTTTGTAGCGTAAAAAAATCTACTGTGTCGGCATGGAGCAATTTTGGTACATGTCGATCCATATCACAAAAAAGCAGCGACTTCATTCGCGCACAAATATCTAACTTTCTAATGTTTGGCATAACAAAAACTATCATTTGCAGTCGTTTTATGCATGAAACTATTATCAAAATAAAAAACCGTCTAGCACTGAAATAACGAATTGTTGTTGTCGCGTCAATGCACACATGTGTTCCGCGCGAAATTCCAAAAAGTACTCACATCAGGGATCTTGGTTGGCTAAGATTCAAGTCCCGTTAAGCAAAAATCTGCATCTCGAGCCTCAATGTTGGATCTCGCAACATATCTCGCAGGCACATCACTGACGCATGTTTTCTCAAAGACACAAAGTCGCAAACTCGTCAAGTGGATGCTTCGCATCAACATGATTGTCATTGCCTGGATCGCACATATTGGCATAGGTCTTGAGAACTTCCACGACAACCAACATCAGAAATCTGGTTACAGTCTACTCATAGATCGCACACAATATCCTATTTCATCGAGCAACTTACGCAGCCGGTTTTCGGCCACGGACACCTGCTCGACGGAGGTTGTCCTGCCGATCCAACGTGTGAGGCGTTCGCAGTCTTTTCAATGAACTACTATGTACATTGCCTGCTGGTTTTTTGCGGACGCTTTCTTTGACTTTGGCACGCTCCTCTTCCCTCTGTGGGTGCAGCTGCAAGGGTGCTTTCTCGATCCTGGCATTGCCTTGCAGCTGCTCGCACCATTCCCTCCACTGCTCAGAACTCCACATTTCCTTGGAACACGTGCGAGCCAACACCTCTGCCTCAGCCATCTGACGAGTTGTCTCGTAATAAAGAGCGGCATTGTGGGTCATGAGCTTGGAAAGTTGCAGAATCTTCAGCTTCAGGGACAAGGTCGTTTTGTGTATTTTTTGGGTCTCTCTGAAGAAATTGTTGATCTCGTGATGTAAAGATTCATTGGACGTGGTGCCGACAGGAAGCAAGCTGAGCCTCTTGGATGATATCATATGTCGGGCACGGAGGTTGTTGAGATACCACTCCGTCCGTGCTGCAGCCGCTGCCGTGTGTAGTAGCTGCACAACTTTGCGGTTCGGGCCAGGTACGACGCGATCCATGTCGTCACGGTAAACAGCTGCCACAGCGGCCAGAGACTGAGTCCACTCGCACCGCTCGAAGAAAGGAACGGAGCCATCCAAATTCTCCAGCAGCGCCGTCGCTTTCTTCAGAGGCATACTGCGATCCTCGATCTGTGACCGAGCTTTTTCTTCTTCCCGAGTTAGGGCCTTGCAGTTGTCGCCCCTGAAAACAGGTCCCCACGTCTTCTCAGTGCAATGTGGACTGTGTACAGTCAACTTGCGCAAGATGAGACGCAAAGTCTTAGTTAATGCTGTACGTTTGCGACCCGATGCATATTCGCAAGTCATCGCAAGATGGACTGGGTCGAGAGCTAGAACTTGCAGGTTCGGACAAATGTGACGAAGACTCTGCCATAGCCTAGTCGACGGGTTGTCGACAGCCACGCATCGCACTTGCCGGAGGCCAGATGCTGGGAGATTGTTAGCCATGGCCTCGACAAGAACATCAGCCTCGTCTGTTGTCGTGGCACACAGCATAAGAACTGCGTTCGTTCGTCCACGACAAGTGACGACCTCAGTGCTCGCTTCTGCTGACTTATACAGACTTATACAACAAAAACAATCCAAGCAAAACAAACAATTGGCATAGGTGCAACCAAAAGGCCCGAGTCAGCGCTGTTTCTCCATGAAAAGCTGCTCGCATTTTTTCTTCGCGGGATGCCCTGGGGTGTGCCTGGCCCATGATGGGCAAACAGCAGCGCAGCGTTGCGTCCATACTTACTACTTCGAACTCTTCATGATGGACTAGTTCCGCTTTTAGCTCTTGCTCCAGGCTTGTGATGCGCGGTGACATGAAAATGTCTTCGACCAATGGCCACCAGTGATTGACATGCCGAGGTAGGAGGCTGTTAGTCTCACCGGGGAAGGTGGCCAGAAGTCGAGCATGGAGCGCGTACACCTGCAGAGCGAACTGCCTAGACTCTGTTATACCACATCTCATGCGCAGAGCTTCTTTGAAGGACTACGACACAGACACTTCTGTATTTTAAAACTCCTGCCTTGGCGCTGCACATCAATATTTCCCGGAAGACCAGCTGACCGAATGATCGGGTGTAGTACAAATTACGTACTCGGCGCAGCTCGCCCTGCTGCACAGCTGCCAGAGACCAATATTGGGGACCGTCGCCTGTGAAAACAAGTCTTATCTCTTTGTCGATAAGCATGTGCTTGGTCGAGATAGTCTCGTCCAAGGATGCGGCAAGTAGACTAGCGCTGCGACGCAGGTAGTGCCTTAGAGGTTGTCGCCGGCATTGATCGTGGTCGTGGAGCGCAATGATGATCTTGAGTTGTTTCGTTCCACTAGCCACGAATTGCTTTCTCTCTGAGTGATACTGTCTGACATGCTCAAGAACACGATCCTGCCGATTATTATTCCAAGACCGCATCGGACAAAAGGGACACACTGCACGCCCATTCTTCTTCACCTCTGAAGACACTTTGGCTGACTTCATGTTGAGTAAAGCAGTGACCTCATTGCGAAGTACTTCCAGAAGTTTGTCACCCACTCTGGTCACGCTCTCATCATCATCCGCCGCGTCATCGTCTTCTTCTTTCTCGTCCACAACAGGCAACTCCAGGTCTTTAACGAACTCGTCATATCCATGTTCCTTGCCGCCTGCCAAGGTGTCCAGAAGCATCTCATATTCCTTGTCTTCTGCATCACGTTCGTTCTTTGCGGGCTTTTGGTTCACGTAGAAGAAAAAGAGAATGTACTTACGATCGGTTGCTTCCGACAGCATGTGTGCAAGATGTTGGACAGGAAAAGCGTAGCTGACGTTGACATCCGTCACACAAATTTGCTCCCCCGGCAGGACCTCCATAGCAAGACTGTGCGGGTTGCCGTCCGTGGCAAGATGAAGAAGAACCTTGTGGCCTGACTTTAAATTACCTGACGGAAGTCGAGCAAAGATGTGGAGCATCAACTTCTCGGCAACCTGCGAATACCTTCTTTGCCGGCGTCGCAAAAAAAAGTGTGCTCCGGGCCTTCTGTCATATCTGCCATGGAACTTGCCTGCTCTTGTAAACCAAGATGATGTAGTGCTGCGAGTATACAATTTCCTGGTTCACGCAGCTTCTCAGGACACTCGACTGCTTTACTGTCGTTCACCTGCGTCAACAAAGCGTGAAAGGTGTATCGTTCTTTAGCACGAATATGGACGTCCAGGCCGGTTTCCTCGAAAATGGCATCGCTGCAGCTTTTACAGAAAGCTTTCACATCAGGCTGCGCGATGTCGCGATCTACTCTGATGCCATCAAAGTGCAATGACATGTGTTTGCTTTGCAGTGGCTGCACCTTGCCAAGCCAGGAATCTAGAACCAAATCTTCAGCAATATTCCAGAAGTAGGTCAGGACGGAAACGTCTGGCCTTTCTTTCATTTGTACCAAGGAAGGCCAAGCTGTGTCCTTGAGCACTGTCGCCGCTACCCACCGGCAAAACAAGGATGCCTGCTGCAGCTCCTGCACGAAGGTGTTGCCTGCAAGCTCCTGGGGTGGCGAGCCGCCATTCAAAATCTTTTGCAGCAGCAGCTTTCCTTCCGACAGAGGCAGCTTCAGTGTATTCTCGATAACATGCTTCCGCTCCTTGGCACAAAGACGCAAAGTCTCCTTGACTGCCGGCCAACACTCGTGCTTCGGCTGTAATTTGGTTAAGATTTGTAAGAGCAACGTGAAGGAGCAGTTCTCAATGTCGAGATCTATCGTATCTGCCAATGCGACCGCCTGCCACGCGGTACCCAAATTCTGCACAGAATGACAGTCTCCGTATTTGCGAGTACGCACACACGGCAACTTGTACTTATAAGTGACATCAAGCTCGACAAAGCCGTCGCCTGCTTCAAAAGGACTTGCAGGTCGTACACCACTTGATGAAGACGTGCTCTGGCCTGGAGATGATGCTTCAAGTGCTGCGACAGAAGATTTCTTTCTTATAGCTCGACGAGTAAGCGTCTCTTTCGCTTTTGCTGTACATGGCTGCTCGCGAGGTTGCTCAGTCGTTTGTGGAAGCTGCTTCTCCAGTAAGTCCAGCAGTCCGCCAGCACAGTCTTCGTGTTTCCGTAGTTTGTCATGAAAGCTTCGCCAAAGAGCAAGTTTCTCTAAATGCTGCAGAGATTTACGGCCTCTTCCGGACTCTAACCTGGATATCACGTGAGAGTAGAAATGCACGAGGAGTTCGGCATTTGCAGTTCGAGCAGCATTGCGTTCCACAGCGTCCCACAGTTTCCTGGCATTGAGACGCTCCCGCACCACGATTGCCTCAGACTCATACCCGACGATGAGGACATCCTCCAAGGACTTCGTGCATGGTATGGTCGGAATGAAATTCTCTGGTTCTGATTTTGAATCCACTGGAAGAAAAACATTTTCCTTGACCAACTCCTCGAACATGTCCTTGCTATATCCGAGCTTGGCTTTGGCAAACCGTGTCCACCAAGTCTTTGTCACCTGTGCCTTGTCTGTCTTCAAGAAATATTTCACGGTTGCCGCCTGTGCTTTCTCAACAGGCGTGGTGTGTTGCACTGCCTGGTCGGCCTCCTCCTCAGTCCGCTTCAGCATCGCGGCGAAATTGCTGTGCGGATTCTCCGCGGTCGGCTCCTGCGCACACAGACCATCCAATGAAAGGGAACGACCCACGCATATTGACGGAACCTCTTGATAAGGTCTATATTATCTTTACAGCATAGCACCTTGACTACAGACAGAGAGAAAAAAAGAAAGAGGGAGAGGCATAGAAAGAAAAAAAAAGAAAGAGAGAAAGAAAGAAAGAAATAAAGAGAGAAAGAATGAGACAAATATATGCAAACGAAAGAAAAACAGACCGATCACTAGTAGCTGGACTCTTAGGCAAGTAAATGCGCTTGTGGTGCTGGTCCTCCCGAGGACGCAGGCCACAAGCTTCTCTGACTTTGCGCTCCGTCAGGCCGCTTAAGGCGTAGTCTTCGATCAATTGAAAACAGTCCTGTCGAGAGTAATGAGATTCGAAGCCGTGCTGCTGTTGTAACGCAGCTGCAATAGCCGGACCGCTTTCGAGAAAACTTCGCAGGGTGGGATCCTTCTCGAAGATGCCATCAACATCTGGATCCTTGTAAGCATCTCCAAAGGATGTGTTCTCCACAAAGATTGGCTGAGGCTTCCACACCAGGCAGCGTCTGTAAATTGAGTTGAAGTTAGTTTCCATGACGTTTCGGAAAGTCATGATTTTGTTGGTCTCGAATCTCTTGAATCCACAAACCCGCATCATCTTTGTAACGAAACCGTACGGTTTGCGACCCGCAAGATCATCAGCCGACATGAATTTCTTGTATAAGTCCTGCTGGAAGTGCCGGTGGGTTTCCGGGGCTTCCTGGGCGGTGATGATCCAACAGTGAGCAAACTGCTCGAGCTGCTTTCGCATCTCTTCTTCATTATGGAAGAGATTCGGGTCGATGAATGCGTGGTTGTGACTGTATACAGCAGCCAGGTGGCTGCTGAACAGAGACTGGCCAGTTCCGCCGGCAGATTCGCCGATAAAGCAGCGATCGATGTTTTCACCATGTTTCGCTAGCCCGATTGCCGCCAGGGTCGCCTTGTAGTACTGCTGATTGCACCAAAAGGTTTGCTTGACAAACTTTTCGAGTCGAAGCTTGGCGTCACGTAGTACAGGATCCGGCAAGTGTGGCTGCAAAGGATGGGAGATTCTGACATACAGATTGTTCTCTGGCGATGGCAAGACCAGCTTTACATGTTCAGTAGGACTTACGTCATAAACCACCGAGATGTCTTGGTAGGCGCACCCAGCCTGCCGCTGAGAGGGTGTGTCACACCATTGGATGAGGAAGTGAAGGAGCCGTCCTTAGCTGCTCTGCGAAAGCCACTTTGCAGGACTTAACAACTGCATCGTTGAGGGTTACAGTCTACAAAAACACTTAGACAGCAGGCTTTAAACTCCTTACACCTAGAGTCGTTCTTCAAGAAAATCCTTCTGCAGCGGTGCCAAGACTTTCGCAAGCATGTAGGCTGTCTTGTCCGGCCAACCTGAATGCGGGGCAGGCTCGGCTTCCTGTGCAGCTCGTCCCCTACGAGGCATTGCCGTTGCGTCTGCCATCACGGCTGTGTCTTCGCAAGCCTCCAGGAAATCATGGACGTTGTTGAATTCTGCCAGCAGTCGAACAATTTCTCTATGAATAGCGGCATCAGAGCGATCAGTAGCTGGAGACATAAGCCGAAAAAGGCCCTCTAACTTCAACAGAAATTTTTTTAGCCTGTAAAATGTTGACTCCGGTGGCACTCCGTTGTAGGGGTCAAACGCTCCATCACTATGGTATAAGTAGCATACACCGCGATGAGCACGAATGTATCTGTCGCCTTCAATCATCCAAATAAGACTGACGAGATCACGGACGAAGATATCCGTGAAGCGCGTCCGGTAAACGTTTAATGCCGAAGCAGCGAGGCGCACCATGTCTTCGGGCCAGGTTGGTTGCCTAACACAATATACTCGATGAGTTTCCTCGCTTGCTCCTTTACAGACACCACCGGGAAGTTGTTCTCGACAGTAGGACATGTAGACAAGGAAAAGGAACATGCTGTTGCCGTCAAGTCGAATAAGTCCTCGAAGTCTGCGTGAGAGTTGGTTGCACCTGGCATCAAGCGCCTTTTTTTCGCAGTGCTAATGGCTTCCTCAGGAAGGTCGCCAGATGGTATGGCCAAGGCTAGGTCGTTCTGAGCTTCCGAACCATTCTGAGTCAATGCCAGTGCTAAAGCTTCATTATCCTGCGTTGCTCTGTCAGCTGGCGACTCTGCCACATCCATCTCTTCCTGTTCTGCAGCCAGGCGTGCGCTGAAGGATGGCTGCGAAGCGCCCGCATCGGGATCTGCGCCGCCCGCCACATCCTGCCAAGGAACATCTTTACCGCCTGCGTTTGCCGTTAGCATAGCAGCCACGTCGTGCGACATGTTGGGAACCTCGTCAAGGAATGGACCTGTCTCCATGTTGTCAGGATGAAGGCAAACGACGTACATCGCAGACACAACATAGCCATAGTGATGCTCTAGGATGTATTTGTACGTGTTCAGCTGCAGGCGGTAGTGCCAACCTGCGCAGTCTGGAATATGATTCAAAGGCGAATGCATATTCCGAAATTTGTTGGTGTATTTCATGCGCAGGTTTTTGGTTCGTTTCCAATCGAACAGGACCAGGCTGTTGTTCGATGTTTTGGCCACGAAGTCGATGCAACCGGCCAAACTGTGCTCCTTTGCAAAAATGCACCACTCGGTGCGAAATGCCAGCAAGGGACGGGAGAATTCTCTTAGGAATTGACCAAACAACTTCAGCTCAGGCCAATGACCAGCTCCGAAACCGCCGTTCATAAGGACCTCGATTTGGAGATGCATCCATGTACCGCGGTGAGCTGCATCTCGAGAATTCTGAAGCCACATGTGCTTGATCTCCTCGGCAGTCATGGGCAGGAGCATGCCGTTTGTCTGCACGCTGGAATATTCAGGGCGCGGCCATCTTGAACTGTTTTGCATGTTGGCGATTGCACCGTCCGCATCGAAAATTTCAGCGAATTTGTGAACTAAGCCAGTCACGGAAATGCTCATCGGGACGCCGTCCACATAGTAGACGTGAGTCTCTGACAGGAAGTTGATTCGCTTGTCCCGATCATGTTCGTGCAGGCGAGACAGCAAGCTGCAATCTGGCTGAGCAGCTGGCAGATGCGTAAAATCCTGCGGTATCAAGTCGAGCAGCAACCGAGGCGCCTGCACGCAAGCTTCGATGGGAATGCGAATGCTTGACGTGCCTTGTCCGTAAGTAGGACAACAAGCGGGACTAAGTCCGACCAACCATTGCTGCTCTTGTTGCGGTTGCATTGCAACCTGCGTCGTTTCTCTCGCCGGCACCATGCTTCGGACCGACTCGAGCTGAAACGCAACCATGTATTGAACGTCATGTTGTTAGACACCAGATGTAATTCCTCAGCAGCCCCGCCGCAAAAGTCCTTCCCTTCCTCCTTCTCGGACGACGCAGTAAAGGTCATGCCGTTCTGCAATTTCTGCTCTCTGCTGTAAACGTAATCCACAGCATGTGGGAAAGCCTCTGCCGTTTCAGTACTTCCACCGATGTAATCAATCAACTGGTTCGGACATCGTGGACACAGTCGTTCAGGAAGGTGTACAGCATGAACCGAACAAACCCATGTGTCGCAGTGTGGACAGACACACCCGCGAGGCAGATGCAGCCCGTGGTCCCTGTTGCAAATAACGCACCTGATTGTGGCGTTGTTGTCGACGAGAGATGGTACTGGGCGATACTGAAGCAAGACAAAGTTCCTGGTAGGCCGGCCATAGACCCAAAAAGCTTTGCCAAAGCACATGGCGCAGCTGGAGCTCCTTCACGAGCACGGGCTGTGGCTACGTTCACGCCATCCAGTGCAATCTGGAACATTCTCGGATTCCATCGGAAGACGATGCGATGGGTGTGGTCGGGTTGAAACCGAATTGTTCGGGCACTCATGTGTGGTTGGGGTGGACCATTTCCCAATCCAAACGAGGCTTGTGCATTCTCAAAAATATTCTCCAACATGCAGTAGGCATGCGTCCGAGAACGCAAGTCACACCAGTCTCGGACTCCAATATATATGCCGACTGTGTTGGGCGGCAGAATGATGTCAAATACAGCATTTCCCATCAAAGGACCGGTTGACTGAAACCCTGTCCCTGGCATATTTGGCACAACTGCAGGACCAGGGCCGCCCAACATGGCTGTCGCGCTCCAGTCCAAGAGCATATTGCGAGGAAAAACTGTAAACATGGTGAGCTGACGAACGTTGATGGTGACGACACGCGCAGACATGTAAGCTTCCATCATCCATCTCAGCTTCATGGGAAGTTGAAATTCTTCAGTGTTCATTGTCACAAGCTTGCCTTGCCAGTGTCGACGATCCCGCACGGCGCGAAGCATTGTCTTGGAAGCAGACGCTAGCATCTTGAGATAGTCAAACGAAAAGTAAAATCCTGGCAATTCCGCGAGCAGCTCATCCAACACGGCGCCTCCTTCATACTCCTCCACTTTGCATCTCATGTCCACTCGACCTAGGTGGCTTTACACAACCTGATCAGAGACTATTTGAAAAACTTAAAAGCACAACAACTTCCACACTCCGCGAAGCTTTCACGTAACAGCAAATATCAGCCAAGCAACACACAGGCACGCTGCAATGGTTCTGGGAATCTTCACCACCCACGTAGTCCCATAGTTGATTGAAGCAGCGTGGACACATGTCTGTTGGGTTTTGGAGTACGTGCGATGCACAGATCCATGTGCAGCAGTTGGGACACACGCGCCATCTGGGTAGGCAAAGATCATGATCTCTGTGGCAAAGAAAACAAGTAATGGAAGCATTGTGCTGAATGGGAGCTGGAACAGGGCGATACCGAAGCTCCTGCGCCACATTCGTCGTGCCAGGCCGAACGTACACCCACAAAAAAAACTTGGCCAGTGGACCTGGGAGCGCCGGTGAACTCTCCCTAGGTCGGATTCTGGCAACTCCGACACCATCGATAATCAGCTCCATCACGTCTTGCTTCCATCGAAGCAAAACACGATGAGATTGCTGAGCTTGCAAAGACACCCGCTGTGGTTTGCGGTGAAGCTGCGGTGGCAGATCGCCCGAAGCGAAGGAAAGTGTTTCACTTTCCGTGTAAATATTATCAAAGCGGAAGAACGATTGCTTCCTTCCGCTTCGATCTCCCCAGTCACGAACGCCAAGGTACATGCCCACTGCGTTGGGGGGCAGAATAACATCGAACACAGCAGTGCCCAGCA